TCGTGATAGTTCACACATCTTGGACGATCTGGGAGCGACGTGGGAAGCGACACAGGTCCAGAGGATGATCTCGAGCTCTTTGTACAGCGCAGTCTGACACATGTGCCCCGTCACAAGTAGCTCAGCGGTTCGTCCTGCCCACGTGACCATGCTGAGGTACGCCCGCGCCCCTGTCCTGCCCACGTGACCATGCTGAGGTACGCCCGCACCCCTGTCCTGCCCACGTGACCATGCTGAGGTCCCGCGCCCCTGTCCTGCCCACGTGACCATGCTGAGGTACGCCCGCGCCCCTGTCGTGCCCACGTGACCATGCTGAGGTACGCCCGCGCCCCTGTCTGCCCACGTGACCATGCTGAGGTACGCCGCGCCCCTGTCCTGCCCACGTGACCATGCTGAGGTACGCCCGCGCCCCTGTCCTGCCCACGTGACCATGCTGAGGTACGCCCGCGCCCCTGTCCTGCCCACGTGACCATGCTGAGGTACGCCCGCGCCCCTGTCCTGCCCACGTGACCATGCTGAGGTACGCCCGCGCCCCTGTCCTGCCCACGTGACCATGCTGAGGTACGCCCGCGCCCCTGTCCTGCCCACGTGACCATGCTGAGGTACGCCCGCGCCCTGTCCTGCCTACGTGACCATGCTTGAGGTACGCCCGCGCCCCTGTCCTGCCCGCGTGACGTGACCATGCTGAGGGTATGCCCTCGCCCTGTCCTGCCCACGTGACCATAGCTGAGGTATGCCCGCGCCCCTGTCCTGTCCACGTGACCATGCTGAGGTATGGCCCACGCCCCCAGCCCAGCTCCAGATTACTGAAGAGGGTGGGTTGGTGCGAGCCTCGTTTCCTAGAAGCTAGGATTTTATTCGCTGCTGTCTACCACGTAGCCTTCCTTGTTGTTATCGGCTACCGTGGTTCACGAGAACGCTTTCAGGGTGCGCGAAACACAGACGCGTTACGCACGACCTTGGGCTCATGTCCTGAGATTCCGTTGCCTGCAGTCTCAGCAGATCCGCGACGCGTGGAAGAATTGAGCAGTGCTGTGTTGCTGTTGTTGAACAGTGCTGTGCGATTGCCGCGTAGTTCGGCTGTGACTTCGCGACCTCGGAGTGTACTTCGATGTGTGTGCCGCCGTGCACCTCCTCCATGGTCAGAGCATCGGCCTTGTAACTCACTTTTGGCGGGGTGGGTGGGTTCGAGTGGCTTCGGCGCTGGCTCAGTGCTCACGGCTGGTGGTCTGCGGTCGGTGGCGGCGGCCGCTCAGGTTTGATGAGGTCAGAGGGCGAGGTGGACCGTCCCAAACATCTGGGGACATAAAACTTCCTGCACATAATTCTGCCGCTGAAATGAAATTTCACGAGCGGATGGCGGGGTCATTGCTCATATAACTCACCCTTATTGGCATAAACGCCGGTTCTGTAAATCTGTCCAGCCAAATGTTCGGACTAAATTTGCACAGAAAAAGGGAAGAAAATCATCTGCTTCACCCGGCTCGTTAGACATGCTCGTAGCTAATGCGTTCCAATGGTGGGGCGCATCCATTCAAGACGATAGTGCGGAGAACTCTTGTGGCATGGCCACTCATGGCGGACGGCCCCCGCCCAGAGGGTTGAATGGCAGGTGCTCATTTATGTGGTAAGTTCGTTAATGACATCCGCGTTCCCATCGAGACCAAGGTCTAATGAGGTTAATAGAATCATTTCAGGAAAGCACTAAACTGTCTGGCACACGTCGTGCGCGATTGTCACGATGAAGGGGGTTACCGGCGTGCGATGGATGGAACTAGCACACGTCACTACGTTGGATCCGGAGCCGGGTGTGCGGATGCTAGACGCGTTCACTTAGGAGCGTCACGTGGTGGTCACGGGGACGTCCGACGCCGCGGATGACGCCAACTATCTTAGCGAGGGGAGCACGGTGTCTTGTCCACGGACGGATGCTCTTCATTTCAGTGGTGACCGGGGCGTTGTGGTGCGGCCGGGGTAGTAAGTGCTCCTGGCGGAGTCTTCCTGCTTCTGTCTGTGTCTGTCTGTCTGTCTGTCACATTCTTCAGCAGGAAGATGCCAGTGTCAGCCAAATGCCTATGGGTAGGGATTGGGAAGCTGGCCAGCTGCTGAGAAGATATCCGAGCAGGGCCTGGGCTGGGGAACGCCCTTCTTCCCCAGAGGCGTTTCCAAGCTGAGGAGCCGCCGGGCGGACTGCTCGTCGTGGAGACGCCTCCCTGACAGTGGTATTCGCAAGCAGGGATTCAGGCTAGATTTTGGATACGGACTTGTATGCGCTAGAATGGTGCTCAGCGCATAAACTAGTATCTGTCAAGAAGACTTAACCTCTCAAGGTCTCCCTTCAAAGTAAGATTCGTGGTCTTATGTCAGGAACTCCACATCACCCAAGACATACCGTCTGATGTCCGTCGTGTGACGTCATCATAACGTGTGACGTCCTTTCGTGGAATTTGACTTACGATGCCCAGTGAAACATGCGTGAACATCGATTTTGTTAAATTGATATTTTTAAGCGGCCTTGCGTTCATTCCAATTCATTTGAGTGGGTCGTTAGTTTATATGAAGATACGTAGGCCTCGTAGGGTTTAAGCGTAAAATCAGAAGGCGTCTCATCCTAGAGCGCTAGAATTATAATCAACTACAGCACTGAGGTAATGAGTATCCATTATGTTAGCGCGTTACATGCTGTCACCCGTGCTAGAGCGGACATGCAAGGTCTGGATGCTTTTCAAGAGCTCAAAGTATTGCTATATGCTTCTGGCTCAGATGTAGCAACTCGCTCCTGTTTTGAAAGATAGTGTAGCAGGAGGGGAACTCGCGCTGTGTGAATCGGAGTTCCTTCCACCAAGAAGATGTCATCTTTCCAACCTAGCTTTTCTGGATTTCAATGTCTGGTGAGTTCCAGCTCTCATGATATTGTTATGCCTCTGATAGCTCTACCAGAGACATGCGGACGCAAATTTAAGTATGACGGGGCATTTAGCATAGAGACGTGACAAATGTGCAACAAAAATGATGTGTTGTATGTCACTTCAAACGCAACTCCTATAAGTTCGCCAATACCATTTCCGTACCTCCATCAATCACGCAATGATGGTGTGTGGGAAAGCTTGGAACAGATGTTGCATAAATATACGAAGGTCCTCTTGCAGCGGATATGATTATAGAGGCATGGCGCTGACTGATTTGTGGGCATATCTTGGCGGAAAATGTTCTTTCAAATATTTTGGCAGAGGATTTTGCTCTATGCATGCTTGATTAAAAACGACCGCTGATTCCGTATTAATAAGGTTTCTGTTACCTCGTTGTAGGTTCCGAGCTTTCAACTTGGCAGTATAAATAGAATTAATGGGGCTTTACGTCTCACCGACTGCCAGGGTCATTTCGAGACGGTAACTTTGCAGTGTCGTTAAGGTGAAAGATTGCTCGTACAAGTCGCTCATATTCGTCGATGTCTGTACGCTGGAAGTTCCTTTTCGGGGCTGTGATGGACGAACGTGTTGTAAAGTTGAAGGTGTTGTGATAGGCTCCCCGCTTGGACTTTTATTCGCCAATTTTTTACGGACCATGAAGAAGTCGACGTTATACATTGTGATGACAAAAGACCTGATGTTATTGTCGTTATGGGGACGGTATCGCTGTGCAGATAGGGGATACTGAGCGACTGGAGCCGCTCAAAAACGCACTTGAAGAGCGCTTTGGCTTAAACTGACAAGATAACTAAGCATAGATAACGTAATACCCTTTCTTGACGCGACTGTTAATGGCCGAGGACAGCGATTTAGTACGACTGTATGCAAGAAGTAGACTTACAACGGGTGTTTCTTAAGCGCTGACAGTGAATGTTCCCAATGCTTCAGAATTAGCGTCATAAGATCATTTCTTAAGCATGCATTTAAGCATTGTTCTGATGGGACAAGAATACGTTCAGAATGCTACGAATAAGCTAATCTCGATGAACAACGCTCTTTTTCAATTCTGATGTTGAAAATGAAATACAATGACACATGACGACACATTTTGGCAATAACCAAGACAAGATTCACAATAAACCATTCCCACGACTTGCCCAAAACAAATGACATCCGTTTACAAACAAGACGAAAAAGATACACGGAGGGAATCATCTCCCGACACGCTTAAGGTAAGAGCGATCACAGAATAGACATTGTCATTGGTTATCGCAACACACCCTTCTCATGAAGAAATCAGCCCACGAACTAGATAAGCTGAATTTGTAAGCTTCTTTCCATACATTCCCTTGGGCGTAATCGCGACTCTCACCATGTCTGATAATGCTTATACGCGACGGGACACCTCCAGAGCACATGTGACGCGAACATTATAAGACATCACCATAACTGACGGACAACATTGACATCCTTCAGATATGCGATGTCAGAAGACGCGTTCAAATTTGGGAAAGCGTGACTAGCTAATGCTCTCCAGCCCATAAATACACACTTACTGCACAACTCTTCAGCTATGAAGTGTTGGCCGATGGCTACTGTACATGTGATTGTGGTTTTGTGTCATTGCAGTGTTCCTTTTACGGATGTCTTTTATGCGCACGCAAGTAAACATAGGAATATTTGCCTTCTCCGTCCTAAAAGATTTTCTGAAGATATCAATGCGCATATTTCGTCCTTAAAAAATCTCATAGCTTTTCACTTGTGCACTTTATTTCTCTGCCGATGAGATGAGGCCTGAAACGTTAGAATATCCAGATATCGACACATATGTAAATCAGTTTATGCGAACAATCTTTTACCTAAACGACACCGCAAAGTCGAAAGCCCGGAACCTCGAAAATGCATCTAGAACCTTATTGATGCGGAATCAGCGGTCGTTTTTGAGCAACGTGTAATGTGATCGGTGGTTTTATAATTCGCAAACTGTTATGTTGCTATGGGTGTCACAGCATCTCACATAATGAGCACCTCAACAACAACTCACTCGTCAGGCCGCTTGGGTGAAACGTGCTTGCTTGATGCTGCCAGGCGATGGCAGGCGGGCTGGCGGCGCGCTCAGTATGTGACTGGAGTGACTGGCAGGGCTGCGCAGGCGCGCCCTCACGCCCCGATCAGGAGGCTCAGCGGGACCCGGCTCTAACTGGAGGTCGCCGGGGCGAACAAAAGAAGAAAAAAGACCCTCCGGCCTCAGCGCCGCGGTCATCCGGTGCGACTGCTACGTGCTGTGTCGCCCCGCAGGTGGGGGATGAGGACGTCGAGGGCTCGCCTCTGGTGGAGAAGATCCGTGCCGAGCGAGGTTACAACTACAAGGACGTCATCACCGTCTCCCCCGGGCCGATGGACAACTTCGAGGCGAAGGTGAGACAGGCCCCTGAGCTGGAGTCTCGATTTGTCCCACTGCCTCGTATTCCGCCGACGCTCAATTAGGTGGTTTCCTTGTTTGGGACGGAGATGACTGTGTTTATTGTTTTTAGCGGACCCACAGCTGCGTTATGTTCGTCCGGTGTGAAGGCCATCTTCCCGACCCTCCACGGTTGACCAAGGTTATATGGGTTTACGGAAGGTTGGAGACGAGTTATTGGTGTCACGGATATAATAATTGATTGGAGTATCGTCCTCGACTGGTGTGACAAACATGCCTCACCTGGTCCTGCTCCTCGGTCATCCACCGACGAAAGAGTCGTCTGCGGAATTAGCCGCGGTGCACCCAGATATATCTCCTGCTCTGCACCGTTTTAGTGATGGATTTTATGTTTTCTCCGCCGTCCATTTTTGGTCGGTTGTCTTGAGGCTGTCGACATTACCAGATGCTGGTGGTGACCATTTCCCAATATGACTGGGGATAAATGCAGGACAGCCAGGCGGCAGGCGTCATTGCCGTAATCTGCGTCAAGCTGCCTGACACAGATTCACCGGGCGAGCAGTGCAGATCGTAATGCAGTCGACCGTGGGCGCCAATGCGACATAGCTCAAAAAGCAAGTGACATCCACAGTGATTGGGGCTGTGAGGTCCTGCGTTCCCACGACGTCGCCGAAGCCGCGCGGGGTCCCTGGCCCCGGGTGGCCGGAAGAACGCAGGGCGGCACTTTTGAAACGAAGGCCGGCGTTCGAGGTTTTTGGTCGCTGCGCAACTACAGACAACCTGATGGCGCATGAAAAGGGCATAGCATATGCAAGAATACTAAACGCGAGGCAAAACCGCAAAAACCGCTCATGGAGTATGCGAATCTCATCTCATATGTGAATGGCTTAAATCGTCAAACAACGCCCGCCTGCAGTGTGCCGGCGAGTCAGATGCGTCCCCGGCCGGCAGGGTCCTGAAGTCGCCTTTCACGTGGGTGGTGGGATGATGTCGCTACTTACAGAGAGGTGAAGACGAATCTACAATTGCTGGCATGTGCTATACTAAGAGTTGGTTGGAACAGTGCAACGTTCAACTGCTTTCTTGTGCTTTATATGGTTTCCGTTTTTCAGGCTCCGATCGCCGTTGCGAGGGAATCCTGCCCAAGTTCAGGTGTTCCTCGCTCCAGTCATTTCCATTTCCTATTCCGATGTATTCCTCATTCACGGGCTTGACATAACGGTTCGTTGAATATCTGAAAGTCGCATAAACTGCTGCTAACTTGTCAGTGCCACATAAACCCCTGTCTCGTGAGTGCCGTCCTGGGTGAGCTTCATGGTCGAGTGGAGATAATAAAAATAGATGATGTATTTTCGTGGGGCGGCTGTGGTTCATACACCTATGGTATCTTCCATCCATCGGGCGTATCATTTGGGCTTTAAGCTCGTGTTCGTCATATCCGCCTGCTCGAATTCGTGCATGGAAATTATCCACTCGGGAAGCGCCATGTTGCTACCTATGCAGTTCCAACCGGCTGCAACGTATAGGCGGCAGTTCTATCACCTGTCAAGGTATTCCCAATTACAAGGTACCGGAGGGCTTGAGTCCTGTTTTAGCTCGGATGTGGACATGCCCACTTGTAGTTCATTTTTCCTGCCTGTTTTGATAATCATCAAAGTTGCGCAGCAACATGGAAATGTTCTGTTGTTCTGTCAGCTCGGTTCAACTAATATTGATACTTCGGTTCTGTCAGCAGCATGGAAGTATGCTGACAACTGGAGTGTTTCATATAATTCAGTTCTGTTCTCGAAGTACTATGCTCGGTTCACTGCACTGTTCACAAATGTTACATCAAGCTGGCGTCCCGGCACAAACTGTATTAGGGCTACTCAATTGGCCGCGGCCACGTCACCGAGCCCCCCCCCCCCCGGCGATCAGTGATCACGTGACCAGACCGCTGCTCCGTTCACCGGCACCCCTTACATCTCAGCAAGAACCGGCAACACAAATACGAAATATTGGAATGGGTGCAGGCCTCTGACTCTAACGATTTCTCTTTTGCAACACCGGGGTCATATCATACACTGGGTGAATGTCAATCAAGGATGTGAATAATGCAACGGCAGCTAATACGGATCATATTCATAATGGTTTGGATATTTAAGGCGCTTAAACTGTGTCTATATATCTTGCTGTGATGGATACTTTTGTCTAATAATTTTGTGAACAATGACAATTGATTTTTAAATATAATTAATTTTTTCTCCAACCGGCCGCGTTTTGAAGAATATTCAGTTGTCTAGCATTCCTTTCTTGTTCCCGTCATTGAAAGCAGGGTTTCAATAGGATGCATTTAGCATCTTTTGAAACACGATTCGTTTTTCCATCCATTCAATCCGTGTGGCTTGAAATTCCAAATTCCAATCCGGTCTCAATCCGGATGTTTCCTAAATTTTCTGGTCCGGTCCGGTCTAATACACCTGGCGAATCCATCTTCTATCCATGTAATTTATCCAATCTGTTAACTGTTCTATTGGGCACGCATGAGCTGGCAAAACGAACCATGCAACTCTAAAGGAAGCATATCGTTTGACCACACACTTGACACTCTTGCCCACACACTATCGCTCGACCCCATCGACATGTTATGAAGGAACGCAGCATGAACGATATGTAAAACCACACGGCCATGAAGGAAGACACACAGAGTAGCTGTTACGTACATAAAAGCGTTTATCCTCCAGGATCGCAGGTGGTTTTCACATGCGCCTCCTTGGTCCTCACAAATCACTGGCAGATGCGCGCCTGAGCCGTCCGGCCGGCTCGGGCGGAGCGGCCGGACCTCCTCCGACGATACGTGTCGACACGGTCCGGCCGTGTCCGACACGGTCACTGACACGGGCTCTCCCACACCGTCTGAACGGCAACGAGACGGGCCGGAGCCGACCGCGGCCGTGCGTCGGGTCACGTCCAGCTAGCGACGTAGCGGCGTGCGGCGCCGGTAGAACTTCATGCCGGCCAGCGCCTCGGGCGACAGGAAGTCCGTTGGGTCCAGGTAGCCGGCGGGCAGCGGGCGGCGTGGCGGCTGAGGCTCGTCCTCGGCCGGCCCGAACTCGCCGGCCACCTCCGGCTCGGGCGCGTCCAGACCAGCGCCGGCCAGCGCGGCCGGCTCACGCCGTCGCTCCGCCGGCATCTCGCTGCCCGCGCTCCACCGCCACCAGACGCAGACGCCGGCGTAGGCCCACAGGCCGACCAGCAGCAGCGGCCAGGCGAACACGAACAGCACCAGGCTGCAGCACGCCTGGTAGGGGCCACGTCAGCACGCGGCAGCGCCAGCAGCCACGCGTGCACAACGAACTCGACGAACGGCCGGAGTATGATGGAAGCCTGCACAGCGACGCAGTGCAGGAACGCGAATCCTAAGGAGACCATGCCTGCGCCGGGAGGGGCGTGTCGACGACCACCGGAGCACGTCACCGGGGTGGTCCGCCTGCTCACCGTCCGCCATGGCTGGGGCGCGGTGACCAGGTCACTAGGACGACCGCCGTGGCGGCCGACGGGCGCGGCGCTGCGCCGGGACGACGTCGCCTGCTCGTGCACCAGACGTTTCACCGACCGGCGCCGACCCCCCGCCTGCGCACCTCGAAGCCAGTGCCGGCGGGCGGGCCGCTGCTCTTCGGTCGCGTGAAGATGGCCGGGCACGATCTCCCCATCACAGCCCGCGGCGCACCGGGCCAGCGGCCGCGCCTCCACCTACGGCCGGCGTGCGGATAGCGTGGGCCACGTGACCACAACGCGGGTTCAAAGGTCACGGCGGCCGCGCACTTCGCCGGCCGCCAGCGGGGTCGGAGTGTTTACCTCCGGGGCGATGCAGCTGTGGGTCCGGCGGTGACCTTGGCAGCGGTCGTCAGCTGGCCTGACGTCACAGACAACGACTGACACGGCGTAGGTTGAATGAATCGGCAACGAAGCCTTGAGGTCCCAGCACAGTTCATATGCTGACCAGCGAGCACAACATTGAGCCTTGTTACCCAGAGCGTGAGTTATATTCATAAAAGTGACGTCATGGTTTAGAAACGGGTTTTTTGATGTAGAAAACAGTCTTCTCGGCCCATTTATTCCTCTAGCTCAATTATGGGGGCCTCCATGATCTGAATTTTTGTTAGTTTGTTGTCTACGGGGAGCTGTAATGCCTGAAAGTGTCGGGAGAAAAAGGGGCTTCCTGACAATTTGGAGGGGCGGAAAACATACTTTTGGCTGCTCCCCCCTGCAGCGGTGTTCCTGGCGGTGGCACGTAGTTTTGGTTGTGGGGGATGAGGGTGGGTTTAGCCATCGGTGCTGTTTGCTCCGGAGCTTATCACTTGATGCTCATTCCCAAATTTTGGGTACATTATGTCATAACATTTGCCAACTTCACTGCTTTGCTTGTACCCTCAGCTGTTACGGTTTTAGCTGCCGTTGGGAGCAAACGCGATTCTTAAATCGGTGGGGTGACGTAGTGTTCGTAGGCGCACTGCTATTGGCGACAAACATTTGCTTCTATGGGTCGGTCCAAATCACGTTACGATAGACGGTAAGCTGGAGAAGTTCAAACGATGCAGAAGTTAGACAGGCATGCTGCATTGTCACAACAGTTGTACCAGACTTCTCAAGTAGAGGAACGAGTAGAGTACGGCAATTTCGGAATAGGGCTGTGATAATAAAACGCTACAGAGCTGAATATGGGTCGGTGATTTGAAAATGTTTTAAGCAGACGTGAAAATCGCCTCCGGAAGTCGGTAGCGAGGACATTCAGCATCTCTAGGTACCCCGGGTCATAGCTCAGTTTAACCGTGTTTGCGTTCCACGCCTCGATTTTGCACCACCTTGTTTGGGAAAGGCTTTTTGATCACGACGTTCCAAGGAAGTAGACCTTTTGATGAACAACTAGCATACAGACGGGATTATAATTGGAAGCGTTGTGGAGCACATTTGACGGACTGAACGTGCCCGCAGTTTTGGACATAACTTGAGCACTTGCCGCTGTCGCTGTCACTGATGGTATTTGCGGGGGAAGGTTGGCCAATGTGATTTTGCACTTCCGAAACAATCTTGGAACTGAGCATATTCCATGTTACGCATGGATGGAGGGAAGGATGGATGGGAGCATAACCAAAGTGCTAGACAGCGTAACGCCACGCTCAAGTGTGGTTACGAATTACCCTAATCCTTTAAATGCTTTGACGCGTCGTTGTCCCATGTCGTTGGATTCCTGTCATAACAAGAAACACACACGTATTTGTTTCACGCCTTTAGCTGGGTAAGGGGCAGACGGACGTCATGCTTAGGTAGCCCAGCGTTAGATAACCCAGCGTAACCAGTGCGGAATCGTGGGGCTGAAACGGCCACAAATGCAGCTCGTTATTTGTAGGACGGCCCCGTTAAGTTTACTTAGACTAGTGAAATGATTAGATGTACACTGGTTCTGTATGCCTGAGATCGAGAGACATCTTCTGTGTGCATACATTACTATCACACACATGGGCGTACCATGTGTATGACATGGCTCCGCATGGTGCTTCAGTGTTCTCGTGCCGGCACACTGCGTATCTCAGATCCAGATGCGTGTCACGCAGCTCCCAGGCAGTGGGCAGCGCTCTCCTCCGCGTTTGCTCCGTGCCTGCCTCAGGTGAAGATGTGTGCAACGTGGCTTTCGGCGACGCTAGCGCGCTATCACTGGCTCCCTCCCCGCCCCAGATCAAGATGTTCTTCGAGGAGACACCTGCACGCCGACGAGAGAGATCCGCCTGGTGCTGGAAGGCTCGGCTACTTCGACGTGCGGGACCGGCACGACCGCTGGGTGCGCGTGCTGGTGGAGCGGGGTGACCTGCTGGTGCTACCGGCCGGTATCTACCACCGCTTCACCTGCGACGACAAGGTGGGCATGCTGGTGGAGCGGGGTGACCGGCTGGTGCTGCCGGCCGGCATCTACCACCGCTTCACCTGCGACGACAAGGTGGGCATGCTGGTGGAGCGGGGCGACCTGCTGGTGCTGCCTGCCGGCATCTACCACCGCTTCACCTGCGACGACAAGGTGGGCGTGCTGGTGGAGCGGGGTGACCTGCTGGTGCTGCCGGCCGGCATCTACCACCGCTTCACCTGCGACGACAAGGTGGGCGTGCTGTAGGCGCCTCATCTGGATGTAATTTCCACTTCTGTCTGCTCTTTGTACCGCTAAAACCAGCATAAGCTGGCGGAAGCTTAGAGTGCCATAGTTGCATCTTTTATCAAGTATAGCATGTCATTGTTGTCACCGCTGTCCTAGCCAAGTGATGAGGAAAACGAGTAATTCAACGGAATGGTTAATTGCGTAAAAGTACAGGCATGACGAAGGAATGGTAGCTCAAATGATAGCGCCTTAATTTAGGTGAATTAGAAATGTTTCTCAAGTAAAGGGAATTGGTGAAATGAAATATGTAATGTCAGGCCCTGCTGACTTGCGAATTGGTCAGTTTTGGGAACTCTGTGCTTGTGCCTTTGTTACCCTGAGTATTTTCTGTTCTATTATGTGCTGCACACCTTTAATGCCATTACTCATATGTATTTTTGAGTTGGGTCTAGTGGTTACCATCGTTTGAATGTTAGACATTCAATGAGCTTAAACGTTTGCAGAGAACAGTAATTTGCGTTATTCTCTCACGATGTCGTATCGAGAAGTTAAAAGGAACCAGCTGCATTTTAGCTCCCTAATCTTAAAACGTGCTGTTTAACCTGTTAAATTGCCTAGACAGTCCCGCCCACGAACTAACGGGGTCCTGCAGATACTAAAACGCCCGACAGCAGGTATGGTGAATGGGAATATTTTCTGGTGGATCGAGGCGATAACAGATGTGAGAGCCATCCCTTGTTACCATGAAGATAATGCCAGAACCCAAGCCAACTAAGGTGAGCTGGCTAAGTGACTGAAACGCTCTCGCAGCCAAGTTTATCGGTTTGCGAACATGTGGAAGGTGCGACTTTTGTGGCAATTTAAGTTGCGGAGTCCCACTTGCGTACGAAATACATTGAAATTATACCTTGAAAAACAGAATGGTTGGCCATGTATCTGCTCTGCAGGTGGCACAGGCAGGGGGGGGGGCACAGGGAGCACGTCCTCCCCCCCCCCTCCTGTTAGGTTCCAAGGGGCCCGAATGATCCTTGAGACCGACTTTTAAGGGTCCAAATGCCAGCCGGAGATCGTATGCAGGAGCCCTTGGCCAGTAGGGCCTTGCACCCTAATACCAGCCCGAGGGCCGTTTTCGCCGACCGGGATCTCCTGAGTCGATAAGGGCTTAATGCCGATCAGACGCTACCACACAGTCGGCTCCAGCCCGAGGGCCTAGTTCCCAAGCAGGGAAAAATCCAACCCACAGCGTCTGTCAAGCCCACAGTGCCTAACAGGGCGCCCCATGTTGGCAAGGGGCCCCGATTCGGTCAGAGGCAGTGTTCGAGGACGCCCGAATAGAACCTGGAGAGAGGGTGCCGGTAGTGTAGTGGTAAACGCGTCTGCGTTAACCACTGCGCGTCTGGGAAACCAGAGGCACGGGGTTCGATTCCACGCGGTGACCGCCCTTCCTTCCAAGGTGAGAGGCAGGCGACGCCATATAGCCTCAGCAGCTGAGTGGCGTCATAAAGCCCCAATGACAGAACCTGGAGGAGCCCATCGGGACCGACAATCAAGGACAGTTGGGGACCGAAGGGCACGAATGGCTGGCATGCGTCTTCTTTAGGATCCCGGCCTGCGGACAGGCCCTCAGATGACAACCAGAGGGCCCTTTGCCCCGGTTAGGGACCGCCCTGAGTCGATATGGGCCCATATGTGGGTCAGACACCACCAGAAACCACTCAGTCGGCTCCGCGTCGATATGGGCCATTTCATGGGGGTCCACTTCCCGGGGGGTCCATTTCCCAAGCACCAGCAAGGCGGGGCCCGCGATTTGCATTGGCCCGAGTGCCTGAAACAATGAGGGCATCGGCCAGGGGCCCGCAGCGCTTAGCAAGGGGTCCGGTGTCAGCAAGTGGCACCGAGTCGTCGCCAGGAAGTTGCGTTGGTCGAGCCCTCTGATAACGAAAGGAAATCGGGAACGTATGATGTGCAGTTCACGTTGAGACAATGGAAGGACCCTGTGCCTGTCAGGAGCCTCAGTAGCGATCTGTGTGCCCGCCAGCAAAAGGGCCGTCAAGGCGAACTGAAGTTAATGTGTCAATTATTAAGTCACCTGTTGCGATCAGGGGTCTTGCTACGTCTGTGAAGATTCCTGCGTCGATCCGGGGCAACCGCGCGAGTCAGAAGGCCTATCGTGTCAAGGAGGGAGTTCAATGTGATACGATAGACCCTTCTACGGGCCTCCGGACCGGTTAGGGGACATCGCCCCCTGTGTCACCAGAATGGGGGCTAGAAAGCACCCCGCGCTGGGACGGAATGGCCCTTCAGCCTGACCGGGGACGATACGGCCCCCTTATGTTCTCTCAATGGGCGCCGTCGTCTGAAACGTAACGGGCTTAAGTGTTGAAGATGGGTCGAGATGAGATTCCAAAAATGGAAAGGACCAATACATGTTGGCCTGAGAACGTGCATTCTTTTGTGGAATTAACTAGTGAAACGAACTACATCGAACAAGTTTGAGCCCGCGCGCTTGCAATCTTTGAGCAGGAACAGCGACGGCCGGGGTTACGGTTCCCGTAAAACCGAACGACGTTGGCCACTGCGAGTGACATCAGGCGGCGGGCGCTTGTGCGCGCGAGAGCGACCGCCGTAAAATCATGCTTCCGAGAGTTTGGTTTCAAATAACTACGTACCGTTTACGGTTTGGACTTGATCGTACCAGCGGGCACCTCCTTTCGAATTTTGAGATTGTCCTCTGGATGTTACAGCAACACTAAAATAGAGGTTCTACCTGCACTGCTCCAGTTCCACCACCAGATTTTCGTCCGCCCGTTATCCGCCACCAGTGTTAGCCAAGGGGCCGACGCCGAGCAGCTCATGGAGACTGTACCCTAGGGCTTCGAGGTTTTTGTTGTTAAGATTTTCGAGCGTGCATGTTTTACACTGCGTTACATCATGTTTCTCACGAATCGATTCTGACTAAATGTTGACTTTTTCAGGCAAACATGGGTTGGTCTCATTAATGCAAGTTATTGACCCATTTTTGTCCACAATTTACATTCACAAGGTCCTCAGTATCTCTGTAGGACCCAGATCGAAATTCTGGTAAAACTTGTGAGTTCTATCGGTTAGGAAGAGTCGAGTGAACCATTGTTAAATGAAGAACGCCGGTGATTTATTCCATGTAGTTGTCTGACGCCTGATTTCTTCAACTTTTCCTTTTACTTCAAATGCAGACACATGTTATCTCGCCAGAGCTTTTTGCTTCTATTCCAGTTGTATAAGGAAACGTAGTAAACAAACAAAGAATACCATGCCCCTCTTTAAGAATTGGGTCATATCAGGCAGCTGTTTAGGGGGAAGGCGCCTTCCACCGTCAGGGGACCCTCTCTCAACCTCGTGCGCCTCACATTGCCAAGGCTCTGGCTGCGACCCTGCTGCTCTGCCTGATTATGTCAGTCAAAGAAATGGATGAATTTGTAATTATTTACCGTTTGGTAGTCATGACCGACGTTTAACTCAAAGCGGTCGGTGTTTTGACTCGATAGTGGTCACAATAAATAAGTCCGTGAAGCTGGGTATTTTGCATGCCCCGAGCGTCCGCTGGGCAGGCTACAGTATCTCGTTACGGAGAGCGGCTTCGGAAACGCGGCATGCCTCCAATCATCAGGGCTCCTATGGGTCGGACAGTTTTGAGATTCGATACTGATTTGTAATCAGCATGTTCACGTGCATCGTTAGGTCTTCGGTATCTTCTGCGCGAGGGAGCCGGGCCGTGACGTAGACGAGGTCTGGGCCCGGTTTGCATTCGTGTAACTGAAGAATTAAAAATGTTACCTTTGCAGTGCTTATTGGATAGGGACGCGAAATCAAGGTAGTAGTGCAATGTTGAAGTTTTTCTCCCCACGTGTGAGGGCTCAAAAGATATTGCACAATTTTGTATGAAGCCGTGATCCTTGTTGCTGAAAATTGCGTAAATCTGCGATTAGTGGCTGGAAATATTGCCGGCTTCTAGAAAGTGGGAAAGCGGGCAATATGGGCTGAGCCACTGAATCTCGAACTTTGTTCACAGTTCAACAGCTGACCCCACTCGTCAAAACATGTTTTTTACACCATCACCGAACATCGTGTTCAAATGTGGGTAGTGATGCGTTTGGAATGGATGCATACATTCCAGGTACCATATATACATTGCCCGGAAATCTAAGACTGGTTGTGAAAGGCAGCCTTTTCGGATGGAGAAAATGCAGGCCATTAAAGTGGTATGAAGCGGGCGTTTTCGGCATTATTCTTCTCCCAAATTTGGGGATTTCTTCAACCTGGTGTCGGTGTGGAAGCAGAGTATTTCTTGAAAGTGTGACACACGGAATCCAATGTCAAACTGAAGCGTGTAACAGAAAGTGTCGAATGGTTAATTTTCAGGTGAAAGGAATAGTTAGTTCTTCAAAAGCTATGATCCGTGTGAGAAATTTAGACGTACTAATTAACTGGGTCGGCAAATGCTGTTTTTTTTTGGGGGGGGGTGAAAGACGAAATGGGCGAAAGCCTTTGGGTAAAAAAACGTGAAATGAGTATGGAATAAATATTAAAAATTATTCTTAGAGAATTAAGATCCAATAATGAAATGAGAAATTGAAAATTTGAAATAACAATTAAAATCCGACAAAAGACGCGAAACGATACGTGAGGCGGCCTCTTTGTTTCTTTTTAGTTCTAGACGCTCTTGCACGGCGCAGTTTCTTTTTTATCTCCAGACGGTCCCGTACGACGCATTTTCCTGTTTATCTCCAGACGATCTCGCACGGTGCAGTTTCTTTTTTATCTCCAGTCGGTCCCGTACGGCGCATTCTCTTGTTTATCTCCAGACGATCTCGCACGGCGCAGTTTCTTTTTTATCTCCAGACGGTTCCGTACGGCGTAGTTGCTTTTTTATCTCCAGACGGTCCCGCGTGGCGCCGCGTCGGCATCCGTACCCAAACCCCAGAGGCGTGGCCGGGCTGGACCGCACCGATGACTGACCTTCAGCGCCCCGGCCCTTTTCCAGGATTACATCAAAGCGTGCCGCCTGTTCTGCGGCGTGCCGGTGTGGAAGGCGCACAACCGCAGCCCGGAGACGGAGGCCATGCCGGAGCGCGGCTCGTACGTGCAGCAGCTGCACGGCACCGCCTGAGCCAGCCGGGCCGGCCCGAGCGACGGCCGCCGCCGTCGTCTGCCCAGCGGCACCACGCGCTCCGGCCGAGGCGGCCGCGCCGGAGCCTACAACAGCTGTCTCATCAACATGCATTGATTTATGTACGCCCTGTAATCTGTCGAGACGGTAATGTGCATGCGTCGTAACTTGGGTAAAGGGGACTAAATTTGGAGCGGGCTGCGGTTGCGAAGCTGTCGAGTAGTCAGCAGTGCTGTCGTGTTTGCTGGCCGTGTCTGCGCGACACCAGCACGTGTCTAGGCCCGACCGGTATCTTGCAGACACGGTGGTAGCTGGTCGTTGGAGCCATCCTGCCGCCCTCGTTAATATGACGAGGTGGTGAGAACGGCGAAAAGCGAAAGGGAATTAACAGGGTGGGGCGACAGGGGTGAAGCCCGCCTCAGTATATGTGAGTGCCTTGTGGACGCTTTTACGTTGTATGATCCACTCCGATGGCGTCTGCGCTGCGGAAGTGGGTCCTAGAACCAAGCCGGCTTATTGTGCGTCGCTCCTCATGTTATCCATGGGTGTGTCATTTGGGAAATAGCATATTTTCTAACGGGAACAGTCTGTGGTGCGAACAGTCTGTGTGATTTGTTCTCTGAAACCGCAAGCGCTCCCAGGTCATTGGTCTCCCGGGGCTTTCGGGAGGACCCCGGAGACGGCAAATTGCTCAAGGCTGGTGAGGTTTCCGAGACGGTCCGAGGCCCTGCCCCGTCTTCAGCTTATCGCCGAGATAGCCGTGGGCCACAGTGCGACCAGCTGTCAGCTTCATAAAGCAAGGTGACAATTCTCTTTCGGTTTGCGGTAGTGCAGTTCGTGTTGATTGTTTTCAAATAAGACAGTTTTTTGTCATTCTTAAACACTGCACGCAGTTCTTACATGTTAAAGCGAGCAATGAATTGCACGCATTTTCAGCCTGTTTTCCCTCACCAATGCCCCTTGTTTTACAAACGTTTTGGCTATTCCAAGATTGGTAGGAGACGTAACCTCAAATATCACCGTCCAAATAGGACGTACAATATGCCGATATGCTGTTCAGTGATGGTCTTTTGACCAGGCATGCTTTGCCACACCAGACTTCAGAGCCTCAACTCGGGCAGTTGCCTTTCTTTGCTCCTCCAGCCTGACGGACAGAGGGCGACATGGCTCTGTTCTGTAGGACTGCCCCAGCTGTATGGTATGTCGTACATGCGGCTCTTCATTCGGTCCTTCAGGTGCCGATAGTCTTAACCTTGGCAAGTGTTCTCCGGAGCGCTGAGCAGCTTCTGAAGACGGTCCTAATTTTAAATTGTCTACAGACTCTTTTGATCTTATCTAACAAGCCGTTGTATGGCAGTGATACCGTTGCTGTCGCTTTTCCTTTAGCTGCCCTACGTTTCAACCACGCTCTTTGGACTTCCGGCCTAGGCAGCCCTTTGAGTACTCGTTCCTGCGAAACATCTCGGTAAAGTAGTTTATTTCTCTCTGTCTAGTTTCGCCATCATCACTGGTGGCATTTATACGATTTTGACCGACACTTGATGGTGGCTGGATAACTAACTGGTCGAAAACCCGTGTGCGCACTAACACACAAGACAATAACGATGATCCAAATAGTTATACGATCCGCGATCGAGATGTGCGACCAAGCGTAGAGCATGGGCGGGTTGATCGATGGCCATACACCCGCGCGCAACCGCTCTATTACGGCGACACAGTACGGATCGTGCGTATTTTCCCACAGACCGTTGACTCTGTCTTGCTTTTTATTTTGAAGCAGAAGGATAGAGCTTAAGTTCACTGTAGGTAACACGGCGGCTTTCAGAAGAAGACCGGCCCAGTTCACATGGCGGCTTTCGGGAGAAGACTGGCTCAGTTAACATGGGGGCTTTCGGAGAAAGACTGGCCCAGTTTACATGGTTGCTTCCGGAAGAAGACTGGCCCAGATAACATGGCGGCTTTCGGGAAAAGACTGGGCCAGTTAACATGGCGGCTTTCGAGAGAAGACTGGTCCAGTGAACATGGCGGTGTTCAAAAATAGACTGGCTGTCTACTTTTGAGTAGACAGCCAGTAGTAGAGAGAGAGAGGCAGACAGAGTGGAGAGAGAGAAAAAGGAACCGGGCGCGGACGGCAGAAGGCTGTTTGTTGGTGTGCGTTGGCATGGCTGTGAACATGATACCGACGCTACAGGCGGCGGCCCTCTCGGCCCGGCCGGCTGACTAAGCGTCAACGGATGGCATCAGAGATCGACGCCTACGCGTTGTTTGGATATTATGTTCTTGATTCTACCCTGGCGTCTTACGCTGTTGAGACATGAAAATGTTGGCGTCATACTGAACTTATTGACCCATTGGAAAAATCGAAATCTTGTTAATTTAACTCGACTGTCAATTAAAACCTTTCGCTTTCGCCTGAATCAGTTCAGATCGTCTTTGATCAACATGCTTTCGATGAATGGTTCATTTCCTGATCACCGTCTGGTCGAGCACTAACTGGTTCACACGGGGACGAGCTGACTTCGCTATCGGCGACGTAGGTTTTGTGACGGGTGTTCTCAGTGGACGTTGCAGCTTGTGAGCTGGGTTTCTACGCGTTCGCTAGATTAAGGCAACGAACATCTAGGTATCCAGAGGTTTCTGCCTTTCATTTACTGCTAAGACGGCAAGCATGTTCGTGTGCTCTTCAGATGGCGGATAGCGTTGCAATAACGTTTGCTTCTCTCTCACAGACAACTGAGAGCGCTATGGCTATGGCATTCCGTTTGCGTCTCAAATATGACTGAACCTGCGGCCCTGACACATGAATGTGGAAGGAGCGGGCCCCGCGTCCGGAAATCCAGTGATGGATCGGGGCCAATCTCGTGAACACGACCTTCCGGCCGCCAGGGCTAGATCGCGACGACATTTTGCCAGCTGACCGGTCAGTGCCACGCGCTAAGTCTGGCGACAGCTTGAATTGTCGCCGACAGGGTCTTTGCGCTCACGATAGTCCGAAAATTCCGACATTTACGGGCCCCTCTTACAAACCCGACAATAAAGATATAGACCATTGGCCAATGTGTACATACTAATATACGCATTAGCCAGCCGCGTAAGGGAACACTGAGCTTCTACATTCTGGCAAAACCCTAGAAACTCACCAAGAACGCTCTTTAGGTGAGGTAGTGGAACGACGCTGGTCCCACACTTGCGGAGAAAAAACAGGGAAATGCGGGAAAAACATAGGGAAGTGCAGATGATTTCGTCTTCCACGTCAGAGAAGGATAAACGAATGCAACTTTATCCCAACTTTTGCATCCTTTTTCAGATTTCGAATGTAACGGACGCTTTTCAGATTTTTGCTCCTAAGTTTTAGAGCAGCCTTGGATAATTTATACAAACAAACCTGTACCGATCATGAATAAGCACACATCCTGCCAAAGTAATGTGGGACCCTCGCGCTGAAGACGCTGCGTTTTCCGGTCGCGCTTTAACCTCGAGGCGAGCACGTCAAGTAAGTGGTGTCGGAAGACTACCTTCAGCACCCATCACCGAGACATAACGTATGAGCGTTCCACATGACGAAAACAAATCTTGTATTGAATCGATACAATGATAACATCGAGAGCCAGTTTTCCGTATTTCCCTGTCATCGGTGCCGCAAACACCTTGGTGTGCAGGGGTGCGTTGCGAAGCGATATCCAACCGTCATCACAGGCACCGCTCCACTGCGCGAACACCTCCAACTGCTACCATGATGAACGCCGCAAAAACACAGACAAATGCGGTGCAATGGGTCACTCTCCTCAGCCGATCTAGCCTTCACAAGCATAACGCCGACCTGTGCGTTACATAACACGTGCTCTGCCGCACGCCGCTTTCAACGATACCTGCTGTCACAAGCACGTGGACAGCTGCAGTTGTCACGCTCTCCCCAGTCGATCTGGCTTTCGCAAGCACCACGCCGAGGTGTGCTTTACATAACACGTGCTCCGTCGCACGCTTCTTTTAACGATGCCTGCTGTCACAAACCGCATGAGCAGCTGCAGTTGTAGCGCCGGGGCTAACAGGCTGCGTCACTCACGTGGGCACAATGAGGGAACATCACGGGTCGGTAAACCGCGGGCACCCATATAGAATAAGCCACGCGCTAGGAGGGGAAACTGTAGGTACTTGGAGAGAAAAACTACGTGTATGGATAAGATCTTTGCGACGCGCCTGGTACATCACTTAAAAACGTCGTCACCTTATGGTGATTGTGAGTATGTCATAAAACAGGCTGCAGTGACGTGATTGGCGACGAAGTGTTCTGCTGCGAACAGAGTGGTAAAATTTACACTCATGTATTGCGCCACGGTTGAGGATAAGTTTGCAGAGTTGTATGATGTCTTACAGCAATCCTTGTGGTTGTCATGTTAATAAGAATAGCATCGGCTAACCCATTGCCAGTTTTTTTCATCGGCGGATTTCTGACGAGTCAGTCCACATGGCTATTTTTGACGGTGTCTGTCGCGTCCAAAAACGTTTGGAACAATGGAGTAGAACACCATTTTTAACCGGACAGACACTATAAGACGCTAGCAAGCTAGACGTTTTTAGTAGCATGGCAACGGCCGTTAAGTGCTTGACCTGAATGAGCGAAATACGCTCCACCCAATCCTTTAAGACGTTTGTGTGCGCATGTGACAAGCGACAACGATTTCCAACGCCAATCTCATCGATGACATTTTTCCTTGGCCCTGTATCCCCCAGATCAGACCCCCATTGAATAGCTGTGTAAGTTCGTCTCACCCGCCATACAGTCGCATTGCACTGTATTGGACAATTAAAGCAAGGACCCAGACATTTCCATACAATATTTAAATATATCTACCTGAATATTAAAATACCGAAACCGAACCCAACGTTGAGCTCCACAGCGGTTACGTGTTGCATGGTTTCCTTGGTACCGACACTTTGTGCCACGTCCGTATTGGGGTATTATAGTACGACATAGTACGACGCTAATGCCAGGTGCTCCTTTTTTCCATACACCGGCAATGCAGGAACGCATTGTGCAGCATTTACGTACGAGGCCCCAGCACAATGCGGCTCTGCACAGCCGGAGTATAGGAAAGGACAACAACAGTAGTGTCAAAATTATACGGTCTTCTATTCAATTGAACCAGGAATTTATTCTTAAATTTCAATGTTCCTTGCTCTGCTTTTGAATCTTACGTGACCTTCACTAACACGGTGCTTACAGAACCTTCCGAATACGAAGACAAGAGAAATACACATTCTCACTTGAAGCCGGCTTCTGATTACCGTCAACATTCAGTGACAAAAAATATTGACAGTTTTTTTTAAAAAGTCCCTATTACGAATTACCATGACTGGACTTTCATATCAATGAATGTTCATGACATGACGCATTCGTAGGTCAACAACAATCACCATTCTTTGGAAAAGCCCGGCCGTAATTTTGTGTCGGCTTGGAAGACAACTAGAGAGCCTATACCAAGCCTATACCAAGAGAGCCTATACCAAGGGTGAAGGTAGAAAACTTACCTGGTTGGGGAAACCCATGGGTACCCATATGGACTGCCTAACGGGTTGAGGTTG